AATGGGGTCATTTGGGGGTGAAAACAGGGCAGATTTGCGACCAAATGGGGTGATTTTGGGGCAAGGAAGGGCGATTTTGGGGGTGGAAGTGGGATTTTGGGATGAAAATGGGGCGGTTTTGGGACCAAATGGGGCGATTTGGGGGCAAAAAGGGGCAGTTTTGCGAACAAAAAGTGCAAATTTGGTGACATAAAGGGCAATTTTGGGGTCAGAAAGGGTGATTTTGAGTTTAAAAGGGCGATTTTGGGACAAGACAGTGAGATTCTGGGGTCAGAAAAGGCAAATTTAGGGGCAATAGAGCAGATTTGCAGCCAGAAAGAATCATTTTGGGGCAAAAAGAGGCGATTTGGCGCCAAGAAAGAGTAATTTTGGGACAAGGGAATGAGATTTTGGGGTGGGAAAGGGCAATTTTGGGGCTAGGAAATGAGGTTTTGGGGCCAAAAAGAGCAATTTTGGGGCCAGAAGGGGCGATTTTTCGGTCAGAAGGGCCGATTTTGGGGCCAAAAGGGGCAGTTTTGGGGTCAGAAGAGCCGATTTGGGGGCTAAAAGGGGCAGTTTTGGGATCAGGAGGGCCGATTTTGGGGCCAAAAGGGGCAGTTTTGGGGTCAGAAGTGCGATTTTGGGGCCAAAAGGGGCAGTTTTGGGGTCAGAAGGGCCGATTTTGGGGCCAAAAGGGGCAGTTTTGGGGTCAGGAGGGCCGATTTTGGGGCCAAAAGAGGCAGTTTTGGGGTCAGGAGGGCCGATTTTGGGGCCAAAAGGGGCAGTTTTGGGGACAAAAGGGCCGATTTTGGGGCCAAAAGGGGGATTTTGGGGTCAGAAGAGCCGATTTTGGGGCCAAAAGGGGCAGTTTTGGGATCAGAAGGGCCGATTTTGGGTGAAAACCCGGCGATTTTGGGGCCGCCCGCACTCACTCTGGTCCTGGTTGAAGCGCAGACTGTTGACCCCGCGGCCCTGCGCCATGGCGGCGGGCGGGCACGGGGGGGGGCTGTCCCCAGGACCCCCCCGACCCAATCTGTCCTTTTTTGGGGCCTTTTTGGGGCTTTTTTGCCCCCCCGGAGCGCTCCGATCCCGGTTACACCATAGAGTCCCAGCCAGACGACGCGGCTAGAGCAAACTTCCTGTCAGCTGGTAGATGACTTCCGGCAAAACAACTCCAACTGACCGCCATATTTGGAAAGCCGGAAGTGAGGCTGCGTCGCCCTAGCAACGCTCCAGAAGGGGGGGGGACAATAAGTAGAACGACATCTCCATAGCAACGCGACGGAAGTGACGTACAGCAGCCAGTAGGAACGCCCGGGAACAACCGGAAGTGAGTTGATTTCTCCATAGCAACGTATCGGTAAGACCGGAAATGAAGTGGCATCTACCTAACAGCGATCCAGCACCGGAAGTGAGGCCCGTTCTCCTTAGCAACGCGCCGGAAGTGCAAAACAGCAACCCTAGCAACGCACCGGAAGTGATGCGTTTGTGATTTGGGGACAAAAAGTGGCATTTTGGGGGTCGGAAAAGGTGATTTGGGGACTAAGAAGGGCGATTTGGGGGACAGAAGTGAGGAATTTTGGACAAAAAGTGACGGTTTCTGAGCGATACACGATTTTGGGACTAGAAAGGGCCACTTTAGGGTGAGGAGATTTTGGGGTCAGAAAAGGTGATTTTGGGGTCAGAGAAAGCGACCTGGGGACTAAAAAGGGTCATTTTGAGGTCAGAAAGGGCGATTTTGGGGTCAGAAAAGGTGATTTTGGGACAGAAAGGGCCGTTTTGGGGTCTGAAAAGGTGATTTTGGAACTAAAAAGGGTCATTTTGGGGTCAGAAAAGGTGATTTTGGGACTAAAAAGGGCCATTTTGGGGTCAGAAAAGGTGATTTT